GATCACTTGAGGTCAGGAGTTCAAGACCAGCTTGGCCAACATGATGAAAACTCATCTATATTAAAAATACAAAAAAGCTGGGCCTGCCTGTAGTTCCAGCTACTCTGGAGGCTGAGGAGAGAGAATTGCTTGAATACGGGAAGGGGAGGTTGCAGTGAGCTGAGATCTCACCACCACACTTCAGCCTGGGCAACAGAGCGAGACTCTGTCTCAATAAAAATAAATAAATAAATAAATTAGTGGAAGAAATAGCTGGGTACAGTGGCTTGAGCCTGTAATCCCAGCACTTTGAGAGGCTGAGGTGGGAGGATCACTTGAGCCTAGGAGTTAGAGACCAGCCTGGACAACATTGTGAGACACTGTCTTTAAAAAAATTATTTTTAAAATAAGCCAGGTGTGATGGTACACCCCTGTAGTCTTAGCTAGTTTGGAGGCTGAGATGGGAGGATTGCTTGAGCCCACGAGTTTGAGACTCCAATGAGCTATGATCATGCTACTGCACTCTTGGCTGGGCCACAGCATGAGACCCCCTCCCCCTTCCAAAAGAATTATTTTCTGAGCTAGGCATGGTGACATGTACCTGCCATCCTAGGATGTTGAGGCAGGAGGATTACGTGAAGCCAGGAGTTTGAGTCCAGCCTTATTTTCTAAGTTTTAATCAATGTATATGCTGCACTCCACAACATCAAATAGAACGCAATTCACATTTTTCTGTGTTTGTTACACAATAGTAAAATCTCTCATCAGCCAATTTTGCATGCAAGGATAATTCACTTGGGTGTGTAAAACAACTACAAAGGCTTTGAGTGTGTTCTGCTGAGTTATTTTTAGGTTCATGCAAAATATTTTGTTAATGTAATTTTCAGATTACTTATCTAAACATTCAAAAGAGACAATGAGACCTTTAACATTGTCAGTGCAATAATCACCTGTCCCTCTTTGACCTAGGAACTCCCAGGCTAGACCATAGACAGAAGTGAATTAATTTAATTATAGACTCACAAGCTAGAGGGGCTTTTTTTTTTGAGACGAAGTTTCGCTCCTGTTGCCCAGGCTGAATGCAATGGCGTGATCTCGGCTCACTGCAACCTCCATCTCCCGGGTTCAAGCAATTCTCCTGCCTCAGCCTCCCGAGTAGCTGGGATTACAGGCATGTGCCACTGAGGCAGTTGGATCATCTAAGGTCAGGAGTTCGAGACGCCTGGCTAATTTTGTATTTGAGTAGAGACGGGGTTTCACCAGTTGGTCAGGCTGGTCTTAAGCATCTGACCTCAGGTGATCTGACCGCTTCGACCTCCCAAAGTGCTGGGATTACAGGTGTGAGCCACCAAGCCCGGCCATAGAGAGACTCTTACGATGCTTTTTAGTTCAACCATCAGCTTGACCCAATTTAAGCAACGTCCAGCAGAGGATACTTGCCCAAACCTTGTAGAATTCCAGATATTCTAGGCTTACTGAAGCAGAAAAGTTCTCAACTTTTTCTTTTTGAATATATTCTTTTTTAGGCCAAACCAAACTTCTTTATGTGATATAGAAAATATTCTTTGTTTTCCATTTTTAAAACACCCGTGAGCATTTCTTTAAAAATAATTCTTTACATTCATGAAAACAGGTTCCCCTTTTCCCCTTGCTTTTAAAAAATTTAAATTTTTATTGATACATAATAAATGTCCACATTTTCAGGGTACATATGATAATTTAATACATTCATATAATTTGTAAAGATTGAATCAGAATTGGGATATCTATCACCTAGAACATTTGTCTCATCTTTACGCTAGAAACAATCCAATTAATCTCTTCTGGATGTGATGGCTCCTGCCTGTAATCCTAGTACTTTGGGAGGCCAAGGTAGGTGGATCACTTGAGGTCACGAGTTCGAGACCAGCTTGGCCAACATGGCAAAACCTCATCACTACTAAAAACACAAAAATTAGCCAGGGGTGGTGGTGGGTGCCTATAATCCCAGCTACCCTGGAGGCTGAGGCAGGAAAATTGCTTGAACCCAGTTGGGAGGGGAGCAGAGGTTGCAGTGAGTCGAGATTGTGCCACTGCACTCCAGCCTGGGTGACAGAGTGAAATTCTGTCTCAAAAAAAAAAAAAAAAGAAGAAAGAAAAGAAAAGAAAAGAAAAGAAATATACAACAGATAATTGTAAACTATAGTTATTTTACTGATCTATCAAATGATAGGTTTTATTTCTTCTATCAAACTGTTTATTTGCATCCATTAATCAACTTCTCTTCATCTTCTCCTCCCACCTACACTTCTTAGTCTCTGGTAAGCATCAGTCTACTCTCTATCCTCGTGAGATCCTCCTTATTTTTTTTAGCTCTTATGTAAAAGTGAGAAGATGTGATACATATCTTTCTATTCTTTCTGTGCTTGGTATATTTCACTTAACATAATGACCTCCAGTTCTTTTTTTTTACACAGGGCCTCACTCTGTTGCCCAGGCTGGAGTGCAGTGGCGTGATCCAGACTCCTGGGTTCAAGTGATCCTCCCTCCTCAGCCTCCCAAGTAACTGGGACTACAGAGGCATGCCACTATGCCTGGCTAATTTTTTGTAGAAATGGGGGTTTTGCCATGTTGCCTAGGCTGGCCTTGAACTCCTGGGCTCAAGCGATTTGTCTGCCTCTGCCTCCCAAAGTGTTGGGATTACAAGTGTGAGCCACAGTACCAAGCCCTATTCTTTTTTATGGCAGAAAATGATTCCATTACGTATTTCTACCACATTTTCTTTATGCAATCATCATTGATGGGTACTTAGGTTGATTTTATATTTTGGCTGTTGTGAATAATGCTGCAATAAACACGGGAGTGCAGATATCTCTTCAATGCACTCATTTCTTATATATATACCCAGTAGTGGTATTGCTGGATCATACCATGGTTCTATTTTTGGTTTCTGAGGAAACTCCATGAAGTTTTCCATAGTGGCTGTACTAATTTACATTCCCACCAACAGCATACAAGGGTTGCCCTTTCTCTGCCTTGCCAGCATTAATTATTTCCTGTCTTTTTGATAAAAGCCATTTTAACTGGGTGAGATAATATCTTCTTGTGGTTTCGATTTGCATTTCTCTGATGCTTAGTGATGTTGAGCAGTTTTCCATATTCCTGCTGGCCAATTGTATGTCTTCTTCTGAAAGATGTCTATTCAGGTCCTTTGTCCACTTTTAAATTGAATTTTTTTCTTTTGCTGTTGAGTTGTTTGAGCTCCTTATATATTCTAGTTATTAATCCTTTGTTGGATGGGTAGTTTGCAAATATTTTCTCTCATTTTGCAGATTGTCTCTTCACTTTGCTGATTGTTTCCTTTGCTTTGCAGACACTTTTTTTTTTTTTTTTTTTTTTGAGATAGAGTTTCACTCTTTTGCCCAGGCTGGAGTGCAATGGCGCGATCTCAGCTCACCACAAACTCCATCTCCCAGTTTGAAGCGATTCTCCTGCTCCGCCTCACAAGTAGCTGGGATTACAGGCATGTGCCACCACACCCAGCTAATTTTGTATTTTTAGTAGAGACGGGGTTTCTACTAAACTTTAGTAGAGACATGGGGTTTCTCCATGTTGGTCAGGCTGGTCTCAAACTCCCAACCTCAGGTAATCTGCCCACCTTGGCCTCCCAAAGTGCTGGGATTACAGGCGTGAGCCACTGTGCTGGGCCACTTTTAAAATCTTACACCAAAAGATCTTTGCCCAGACCAATGTCTTATTTTGCCTATGTCTTCTTCTAGCAGTTTTATAGTTTGTTTCTTACATTTAAGTCTTTAATGCATTTTGAGTTGATTTTTGTATATGGTGAGAGATAGGGGTCCAAGTTTCACTCCTTTGTACATGAATATCCATTTTTTTTTTTTTTTAGGTTTTCACTATTTATTCATGACAAATACTCCACATCTGCGATTCTCTCCAGTCAAAAGTTCTTTGAGACGATGCCATCAGCCTTGGTCAATCGGAGAATAGAATCATCTGACTCACCCATCCTACGTACGGCCCCGCAGACAGCGTAAGTTTTAACTGGCAGTTAAACCTGCCTGTGAGCTTGTCGACCTCGGCCACGTTCATCTGGATGGATGCGTGGTCCTTGGCACCGAGGATGCGGTTACTGGCGGAGCATTTCCGCGGCACCTACAGGTCCACGAACTTGCCGGCGTCGTTCTGCATCTCGAGGCCGCGCCTGCTGCCACCACACCGTGTGCGAGTAGAGAAAAGCTTTTTTCTTTTCTTTTCTTTTTTTTTTTTTTAAAGACAGGGTTTTACCATATTGGCCTGGCTGGTCTTGAACTCCTGACCTCAGGTGATCCGCCCGCCTCGGCCTCCCAAAGTGCTGAGATTACAGGCGTGAGCCACCGTGCCCGGCTATGAATATCCAATTTCCCCAGTATATGTATTTATTTTTGAAAACTCCCTACAAACGCTTATTCTGTCCCTGCCTGGGAGAAGGAGGACAAGGGGATACAGAGAACCTCCCAGAAGAGAATGAGGCTCTGGTGGAAAGACTTGTCCAGAGGCTGGTGGACCCAGCACCATTTACTGAAGAGGGTATCCTTTCCCCAGTGTATATTCTTGGTGCCTTTGTTTAAAATCAGTTGGCTATAAATATGTGAATTTATTTCTGGGTTCTCTATTCTGCTCTATTGGTCTGTCGGCCTATTTTTTTTTCCTTTCTTTCTTTCTTTTTTTTTTCTTTTTTAACCAATACTACGCTGTTTTGGTTAATATAGCCTTGTTATACGTGTGTGTGTATGTTTGTGTGTGTGTGTCTGTGTATATATATTTTTATTTTTATTTATTTTTTTTTTTTGAGACAGGGCCTCACTCTGTTGCCCAGGCTGGAGTGCAGTGGTGCAATCTCAGCTAACTGCAAACTCCACCTCCTGGGTTCAAGTGATTCTCAGCCTCCTGAGTAGCTGGCATTACTGGCGTCCCCACTGCCAGGTTAATTTTTGTATTTTTAGTAGAGACGATGTCTTGCCATGTTGGCCAAACTGGCCTCGAACTCCTGGGCTCAAGTGATCCTCCTGCCTCGGCCTCCCAAAGTGCTGGGATTACAGGTGTGAGCCACCACACCCAGCCTGTATTCTTGAAGTCAGGTGGTGTGATGCCTCCAGCTTTGTTCTTTTACTCAGGATCGCTTTGGCTATTTGGGGTGTTTTGAGGTTTTATATTAATTTCAGGAATTTTTTTCTGTTTCTGTAAAGAATGTCATTGGTAGTTTGATAGGGATTGCACTGAATCTGTAAATTGCTTTGGGTACCATTATCATTATAATATTAATTCTTCCAGTCCATGAGCATGGAATACCCTTTCATTTGTGTGTGTGTGTGTGTGTCCCTTTCACCAGTTTTCTTTGTATAGTTTTTTTTTGTTTTTGTTTTTGTTTTGAGACAGAGTCTTGCTCTGTTGCCTAGGCTGGAGTGCAGTGGTGCGATCTCAGCTCACTGCAACCTCCACCTCCCAGGTTCAAGCAATTCTCCTGCCTCAGCCTCCTGAGTAGCTGGGATTATAGGCACCTGTCACTAAGCCCAGTCCCTGGTATAGATCTTTCACTTCTTTGGTTAAATTGATTCATAGGTATTTTACATTATGTGTAGCTACTGTGAATGGAATTGCTTTCTTGGTTTCTCTTCCACATTCTTTGCTGTTGGTGTATACAATCAGTTGCTATTGATTTTTTTGTATACTGTAACTTTACTGAATTTGTTTATTAGTTCTAAAAGTTGTTTTGGTGGAGTCTAGGCTTTTCTTTCTTTTTCAAAACTTTTTTTTTTCATTTCCACTTCAGGAAGCTTTTCTAAGATCATGTTACTTGTGAACAGGTCTAATTTGACTTCTTGCTTTCTAATTTGGATGTTCTTTATTTTTTTCTCTTGCCCAATTGCTCTGGCCTCCCCTTGCCAGTATCCTTAAATGTTCCTTTGTGTTTTTGGCCTTTTCTCTTATTCTTGAACATATGTACTTGCATCTTTCTAGATAATTTGATCAACATTTACAGAGCATCTATCTATCTGCTAGATATTGGGCTAAGATCTGGGAATCCCTTCAAGGAACCGTCAAAGATAGGAGTTGGCAAACTTACTGGACCAGGGATTTTAGACTTTGGGAGCTATGCCATTTCTGTCCCAAGTACTCCACTCTGCTGTTGTCTGTGAAAGCAGCCATAGACAATATGAAAACAAATGGGTGCGGCTGTGTTCCAATAAAATTTCATTTACAAAAGCAGGCCCTGGGTCCCTGATGGAGATCAGGGAGACTTCTAAAACAAACTAGAATGTAATGTAAAGAGCGCTCTATGTGGGCGTGGTGGTGCGTGCTTGGGTCCCAGCTACTTGAGAGGCTGAGGTGGGAGAAGTATCTGAGTTCAGGAAGTCAAGGCAGCAGTGAGCTGATCATGCCACTGCATGCCAGCCTGGGTGACGGAGCAAGACTCTGTCTCCAAAAGAAAAAAAGTGCTCTACACTAGCGGTACCAATGTGATGTGATAAGTAAACTATATTAGCAGTATGAATTACTTGCTATGAATGAACGCAGCATAAGGAATAATTCATTTTGCCTGGGGGAGCTGGACCAGTTTTCCTTTAGAAGATAACTTTTAAGATTTAAAAGATTTCAGGAGGAAGAAATAATTTCAAAAAGAGAATTCCAAGTCGTGCGAACAAAGGATGTGGGCATGAAAGAACATGCCATGTTTGGGAAGTCTTGAGTTCTCCTTTTGTGGCTGAAACACAGCATATTTACAGGAAGATTTGGGGGAAAGTGATGCTGGAGCCAGACTACCAAAGGCCCAGAGGAACTGAATTTTCACTGTAGGTAGAGACTGGGACATAGCTCTGTTTAAAAACTGATTCTGGAGGTCCACGCTACATGGAGGGCATTTGGGGTTGGGAGAGAGTAGAGGTGGGGAAACAAGTTAGAAATCTGTTTGCATTGTCTGGGTGAGACGATAAGGGCTTGAACTGAGTCAGTAGCTACAGGTTAGAGAAGAGAGGCAGTGGGAGGATGAATCAACAGGTCATAGTGACTGAATAATGGTTCAGAAATTCTGGGAAGGTCAACTGGCTGGCTAGTGTGCCAATTATTTAGCTCTCAGATTCCCTGCCTTTTCCCTGCTCTGCATCTTGGGGAGCAGACCCCTGAAAACCGTATTTCCTAGCTCGATTTCAACTGGCTTCTGGTTGGAAACAGCCAAAAAGGAGGTAGGAGAGGAGAAGCCAAGGTGTCTCTCCTGGTCTCCCTACTCCAGCGTTATTACCAGCAGTGGCTGAGTCTTCTTTGTATGTTTAGCTGCTATTGTCGTTTGAAGTTCAACTCCCCCAGGTGGCTGTGTTAATCCATTTTGTGTTGCTATAAAGACATACTGGAGACTGCGTAATCTATAAAGAAAAGAGGGTTATTTGGCTGGTTCTACAGGATGTACAAGCAGCACGGTGCTGGCATTTGCTTCTGGTGAGGGCCTCAGGAAACTTACAATCATAGTGGAAAGTGAAGGGGTAGTGGGCATGTCACACGGTGAGAGATGAAGCAAGAGAGAGGGGGGAGGTGCCACCCTCCTTTAAACAACCAGCTTTAATCAACCTTACAACTACCAGAGTGAGAACTCACTGATCAACATGTTATTCCTTAGGGATCCGCCCCCATGACCCAAACACCTCCCGCTAGGCCCACCTCCAACACTGGAAGTCACATTTCAACATAAGATCTTGAAGGGACACCCATCCAATCTGTATAAGTGGCCTTGGCTCTTGGGTGCCATGACACCACCGCCTCTGTGCTGCTTCAGCCCTCGAGGTGGTAGCAGCTTCCTACCAGTGCTAGTTCTGAGTTGCCTCCACTTTTTCTGTTTTCTCTTTCCATTTTTCTGGATAGCTTTGTAAGCAAGCTTCCCATGTAAAATTCCGTCAACTGAATTACCTAGCGTAGGTTCTATTTTTCTGACTAGACCCTGACTGATAGAGATGTAATGATCTGTAAAAGAGTTGGGCAGTACAATAGATGAAAGTAGGAAGGGAAGATATTAATAATTCCATTTTGAATCTGTTTCATCATTTAAGGAACCCACTGAACCTACAATGACTTTCACTCCTATGCCCTCTAGTCCATTCTTCACAAAACTAGTCAGAGAAGTTTTTCTTTTCTTTTTTCTTTCTTCTCCCCTCTCCTTTCCTCCCTTTCCTCCCCTCCCCTACTCCTCTCCTTGACAGGGTCTTTCTCTGTTGCCCAGGCTAGAGTGTAGTGGCGCGATCATAGTTCACTGCAGCCTTGAACTCCTGAGCTCAAGAAATCCTCTCGCCTCAGCCTCCCAAGTATAATCTTAAAAAAAAAAAACTAAGTAGATCATATCTTTCCCTGCTTAAAACCTTCCTGCGGTCAGCTGGGCATGGTGACTCATGCCTGTAATCCCAGCACTTTGGGACGCTGAGGCAGGCAGATCATGAAGTCAATAGATCGAGACCATCCTGGTCAACATATTGAAACCCAGTCTCTACTAACAATGCAAAAATTAGCTGGGTGTGGTGGCACTCGCCTGTAGTCCCAGCTACTCAGGAGGCTGAGGCAGGAGAATTGCTTGAACTTGGAGGCAGAGGTTGCAGTGAGCCGAGATTGCACCACTGCATTGCAGCCTGGTGTCACAGCAAGACTGTCTCAAAAACAAAAAACAAAAAACAAAGCCTTCCAGTGGCATTCCATTGCACCTAGAATAAAAGCTAAACTTCTTGCATGGGTATATCAGCCTCTGTCTGCGCCTGCTTACTCCTCCCCCGACCCCCTTACCCTGTCCAGCCACACTGACTCACTTCCTGTTCCTCCAACTCACCCAACTGAATTTCTGCCTCAGGGCCTTTGCACTTGCTGCCCCTTCTGCTGGGAATGCTCTTTCCTGAGAGTTCCATGTATTGTCTTCATGCAGGGCACTGTTTTTGTGACACTCTTCAGAGAAACCACCACTCATCTCCTCATTCTGATTTGTGTTTGTTGTGGCATGTATCACTCTCTGAAATTATACCCTTTATTTCTTTCCTCTTCAAAATTTGAGGACAGAGAACTTTGCTTTCTTCACCCTTTTATTCTTTCTATTCTTGTACCTAGTACAAGGTCTGGCATATATTAAGAACTATAAACTATTTGCTGAAGAATAAATAAATATTTTACCTTTATACAATGTTGCAGAGATGCTCTCTCTCTCTCTCTATATATATATATATATACAATTTTTTTTGTTTTGAGTTGGAGTCTCACTCTGTTGCCCAGGCTGGAGTGCAGTGGCGAGATCTCAGCTCACTGCAACCTTCGCCTCCCAGGTTCAAGCAATTCTCCTGCCTCAGCCTCCTGAGTAGCCGGGACTACAGGTGCCCGCCACCATGCCCAGCTAATTTTTGAATGTTTAGTAGGGCCGGGGTTTCACCATATTGGCCAGTCTGGACTTAAACTCCTGACCTCGATCTGCCCGCCTCGGCCACGCAAAGTGCTGGGATTACAGGTGTTAGCCACCATGTCTGGCTTATATGTTTTATCTTTATTAATTTACTTTCCAATTTTTTTTTAGATAAAATCTCGCTCTGTTGCCCAGGCTGGAGTGCAGTGGTGCAATCTCAGCTCATTGCAACCTTTGCCTCTTGGGTTTAAGCAATTCACCTGCCTCAGCCTTCCAAGTAGCTGGGATTACAGGCTCCCGCCACCACACCCAGCTAATTTTTGTATGTTTAGTAGGGTTGGGGCTTCGCCATGTTGGCCAGATTGGTCTTGAACTCCTGACCTCAAGTGATCTGCTGCCTCAGCCTCCCAAAGTACAGGCGTGAGCCCCCATGCCTGGCATTACTTTTTAATTTCTGTTATTTCGCTTCCAGGATTTCTTTTCCTGAAATACTCTCTCCCATCCCATCCTCACAATTCATCTTTCACAACAATCGGAATCCCTTCCTCTGTGAAACTTTCCTTTCTTGCTCTTCACAGGAAATTAACTGCTCCCTCTTTTGGGTTTCATTCCTATCTCAGCAAGATTGACATTTTACTGTGGATATTTAATGTTTATCTCCTTTTCCTAGATGGTTGTAGAGATCATGAATTTTTCATCTCTATAGCTTTAGTATCTAGAATAGTACCTGACACATAATTGCATTTGGAAAATATTTGTTGAATAAAGTGGCAGATACAGGAGGTTTTCCAGTTCCACATTTCTAGTTGTTTCTGTACACTATGAGCCACTGGGAAAGAAAGATGGTTCCATATCTGTAAAATGGTGATAATAAGCAGACCATGGTAATGTGTGCCCGTAGTCCCAGCTACTTAGGAGGCTGAGGTGGGAGGATCGCTTGAGCCCAGGAGTTCACATCCAGCCTGGGCAACGTAGCTAGACCCTATCTCTACAAAAATAAAAAATTAGCTGGGCTTGGTGGTGCATGCCTGTAGTCCCAGCTACCTGAGTAACTGGCTGAGGAAGGAGGACGGCTTGAGCCCAAGAGTTAGAGCTGCAGTGAGCTGTGATTGTGCTGCTGCACTCCAGCCTGGGTGACATAATGACACCCTATTTCTAAGAAAAAATAAATAAGTAAAAATTAAATATTTAACAATATTTAAGTGCTGTAGTGGTTTCTTCTAAGGCTCTAACTCAAGACAGACATAATAGAATGTTGCTTTTCAAACAAGAGCTTCTTGAAGACAAAAGTGATCCATTAGAACACACCTTGAGTGAACTGGAGGGTGGGGTGGGTGAGAGCAGTGGGTTGAACTGGGGACCTCTGTGTAAAATTGACTGTGGCTCCAGAGTTTGCAATTGCAGTCATCACCGGTGTACCAAGATACCTTCTCCCTTTGTGTCATCCCTACTGTCTTTTTTTTTCTTTTAGACAGGATCTCACTCTGTCCCCAGGTTGGAGTGCAGCGGTGTGATCAGGGCTCACCGTAGCCTCAATATCCCTGGCCAAGTGACCCTCCTACCTCAACCTCCAGAGTAGTTGGGACTCCAGGCATGCGACAACATGTCCAGGAAATTTTTTTTTTTTTTTTTTTTTTTTTTTTGAGACAAACTCTTGCTCTGTCGCCAAGGCTGGAACGCAGTGGTATGATCTCCGCTCACTGCAACCTCTGCCTCCCTGGTTCAAGTGATTCTCCTGCCTCAGCCTCCCGAGTACCTGGGACTACAGGCACATGCCACCACATCTGGCTAATTTTTGTATTTTTAGCAGAGATGGGTAACCGTGTTAGCCAGGATGGTCTTAATCTGCTGACCTCGTGATCCACCAGCCTCGGCCTCCAAAAGTACTGGGATTACAGGCATGAGCTGCCACCCTCAGCCTAAATTTTGTGATTTTTTTGTAGAGATGGGGTCTCTCTCTGTTGCCCAGGCTGGTCTCAAACTCCTCTGACGCTAGCAATCTCCCCACCTTGGCCACCCAAAGTGCTGAGATTACAGGTATAAGCCACCACATGCAGCCTCTACTGTCTTTTTTGATGGAAATCTTGCCATAATTTCAGACATATTTTTAGTTAAAACACTTAAAAAAATCTTAGTTCTATTAAAGCAACTGTGAATATTTTTGCTAATGTACAGAGCCAAGTTTTGAAAGAAACCCAAGTAGGCCTTAAAATTTAAAAAGCATTAATCATTTGCTTCCCCCAACTCCCTGCCTTTTAAAAATTAGATATTCTAAGAAAATTTATGTGAGTGTCTGGCACATTAGTTGCTCATCTCTGTGCTCCCATATTTCTGTGTTCCTTCTTGTTCTTCTTCTTGTTTTTATACATTTATTTATTTTGAGATGGAGTCTCGCTCTGTTGCCCAGGCTGGAGTGCAGTGGCGCCATCTCGGCTCACTGCAACCTCTGTCTCTGAGATTCAAGCAATTCTCCTGCCTCAGCATCTGGGGTAGCTGGGATTACAGGCGGCTGTCACTATGCCCGGCTAATTTTTGTATTTTTAGCAGAGACGGAGCTTCACTATGTTGGGCAGGCTGATCTCAAACTCCTTACCTCAAGTGATTTGCCTACCTCAGCCTCCCAAAGTGCTGAGATTACAGGCGTGACCAACCATGCCTGGCCCATCTTCTTGTTTTTTTTAAAAATAGCATATTGCATTTAATTGTACCTCCATCTCCTGTGTTAGATGTGAGCTCTTCTGGAGTAGACTGGGCTTTACCTACCTGGGTTCATCAGTGCCTTGAGTGTGCCTAGTGCAGAGTTGTTTCTCAAAATTTGTTGAACGAATGAAATGTCATTTTCAGCTCCCAGCCTTTACTTGGCTCTCAGCCTAATTATTTTTAATTTCCAACAAGCACTAGCTCTTAATTAGATCAAATATGCTCAGGCTCACTTTTAATAAAAGAAGTGCAAATTATTTATTTATTTATTTATTTATTTATTTATTTTTGTTGTTAGAAGTGCAAATTAAAACTACTGAGATGCCAATTTTTTTTTTATCTGTCACATCTTTGCTGGTGGTTATGTAAATTAATACCACTTCTAGGGAGGGCATTTTGACAATATCTATCAAATTTCCAAATGAGCATACCATTTGACTTAGCAGTCCCATTTCCAGTAATTTGATAGATATTACCCCACATGGGCCAATGATATACGTAAGAACATTCACCGTGGTATTTTTTTTTGTGGTAGCAAAAGCCTGGAAATGACCTAAAGTCTATTAAATACTAGTTAAATGAGTGATAGTATTTCCATGCAATAGACAATCTAGTCTAGAGGAAGAAGAAGGAGGCAGAACTGTGGGCACAGTTATGGGATGACTGCTAGAATACCATTAATAAAACAAGATTCAAGATAGTGTATACAGTACGCTACCATGTATTATTACCAGATGAAAAGATAGCAAACTTACATGTGTATACATAGCTATCTCTGAATAGATTTATAAAACCCCAGTGATATCAGCTGCCTCTACAGCTAGGCAGATAGGTAACAGGGAGCTATGGCTTCAGTCACAACACAAAAAGTCCTATTTGACCCACTTGTGTAACTACTTACCATTTTCCCATTGCTCTTAGGATGAAGTCCAAAATCCTTATGGCCTGCAAGGTGCTTTGTGACAGAACTCTTGCCTACCTCTCCTGCCTCATCTTCAGTCCCTCTGTCTTTTGGCTTAATCTTCTTTAGCTCCTCGAAGGCCATTCTGTTCCCCATCTCATGGCCTTTGCAAATGCTGTTCCTCTACCTGGAATTAGTGGTCCTTGAGACAGCAACTTTGAGGCCACTTCCCCAAAGTGAGCTTTCCTGATTGTGCAGAGTAGACTAGTTCCCTGATAGATGCTCCTATGGCATCCCAAACTCCCTTTCAAGTAGCAAACACCACCATTGCAGTCAATAAATTATTTGCTTGATGTCTGTTTCCCTTGCTAGGCTACAAGATGATAAGATGATATCTGTCTTTGTTGCCTGTGTACCTGTACCTAGCACAAAGCAGGCACTCAAGAAACACTTGTGGGAGGGAGAGAGGAAGAGAAGAAAGCAACAGTGGAGAGAATGAAGGTGGGAGGAAGGAAGTAGGGAAGGTATCTAGCTGGTAAGGCAGAACAGAGGGAGGGAAATAACTACCAGGACCTTAAAGCCCATTGTAAAGAGATAGCTCTGCTTGTGTTGTTCTTCTTTAGTAATTAGTTTATGGATTAGTATTCTCAGACTTACTTGAAAATTACATTGTTGGCCAGGTGCAGTGGTTCATGCCTGCGATCCCAGCACTTTGTGAGGCAGAGGTGGGTGGATTGCTTGAGTACAGTAGCTTGAGACCAGCTTGGGCAATATGACAAAACCCTATGTCTTCTAATAATACAAAAATTAGCTGGGCATGGTGGCATGCACCGGCAGTCCCAGCTACTTGGGCCACTGAAGTGGGAGGATTGCTTGAACCCAGGAAAGTCAAGACTGCAGTGAACTGTGATCGTGCCACTGCACTCCAGTCTGGGTGACAGAACGAGACCCTGTCTCAAAAAAATAAAATAAAATAAAATAAATAAGATATTTTTGTTACATCTGTGACCTTAGAATTTATGCCTTACAGAAACAGAGTGTTTTGGGCTTGTTGTTTGGTGAAAAAATTAGTCAGGCCCAATAGATTTTTGTTTTACTTTAGTTGAGAAATCATGTTATTCTGTTTTTTTTAAGCCACTGAGAGATAGTAACTTTTCACAAAGAAAACAGCGATTTCTATTTCTTAGGAGTGGAAAGATGTTTCGGTATATACATATTAGGACTTTGGGCTGTTTTTAATATTCTGCAATTTTTATATCAATGCTGCTATGTTTATGAATCAGAAGGTCACAAATTGTGTTTGGTATGAGATCCAAACTTCTTGCCCAGCTCCAAGGCTCTGAGTGAGCTGGCTGCTGCCCCTCTCCACCCCAGCACATTGGCTTCTCCAGTGGGGGACGACAGCTTCTTGTCCCTCCAGACCCTGTCCCTTGTAATCTCTTCTGGGAATGTTCTGCTCATTTGGGTCAGTAACTCAGGAAGGGCTTTCCAGATCCTTCCTTCTAAAGTAGCTCTACCCAGGGACCAGACAGGTTTTGTTGAAGATAAAGCTTATATAAAAAAGAATATAAAATTATGAATATAAAAATTTATACAAAAGTGAGCACTTATTTAAAATAATAAATCCCCCTCTTTGATCACCTCTTCATATGAAAATGATTGTGTGATATTTTCTATACAGCAAGTAAAGAGATAATTCAGTCTTCAGCATGTTATCATTGATTGCAGAGTGTTTGTTTTTGAGAGACAGAATTTCACTACGTCAATCAGGCTGGAGCACAGTGGCTATTCACAGGCATAGTCACAGCTCACTAAAGCCTTGAACTCCTGGGTTCAAGAGATCTTCCTGCCTTAGCCTCCCCAGTGGCTGGGACTACAGGCTGTACTACCATGCCTGGCTAAAGGGTGTGGTTTTTGTTGATTTTTTATTTTATTTTTTATTTTTTAGTGATGGGTGTCTCATAGTTGCCCAGGCTGGTCTCGAACTTCTGGCTTCAAGCAATCCTCCTGCCTTGGCCTCCCAAAGTGTTGGTATTACAGGTGTGAAACATCGCATCTGGCCTTAAAAGTGTTTTTGTGACCGATAGTTTAGGAAAGTTTCTTTGGTTTCAGGGACAGGTGCGGTGGCTTACGCCTATAATCCCAGCACTTTGGGAGGCTGAGGCGGGGGGATCACCTGAGGTCAGGAGTTCGAGACCAGCCTGGCCAACATGGAGAAACCCTGTCTCTACTAAAAATACAAAAAAAATTACCCGGGTGTTGTGGCAGTCGCCTGTAATCCCAGCTACTGAGGAGGCTGAGGCGAGAGAATCACTTGAACCTGGGAGTCGGGGTCAGAGGTTGCAATGAGCCGATCGTGCCATTGCACTGCATCCTGGGCTATAGAGTGGGACTCCGTCTCAAAAATAAATAAATAAGAAAAAAAATTGGTTCAGAATAGATCTCTTTAATATATTTTTTAAAAAGTTTCTTTAGCTTCATTACTCATTGTTGGTAATGTCATGTAAATTGATGTAAAAATCTGAGAAATCTATTATGCTTTTATCATATATGAGTTGTAAGACTTTAGAGTGTTTCAAGTGTGTTGGCTTTGGTTGTGTGGTGTGGCATGTAGTGTGTGTAGGTGTGTTTGTATAGTGGGGTGTGTCTGTGTGGTGTGTGTGTGGCATGTGGGGTATGTCTGTGTGTGTGTGCATGGGGTATATGTGGAGGCATGTATATGTGTGCCTTCACCCTGGGGTGCAAATGTCCCTCCCAGGGCCTCAGAAGGGGCCTGTGAAAATGAAGAGCTCTGAAACTGCAGCTTCATTAGCTTCACAGGAAATCCCATTCTGTCTCCACTCCACAATGACTTGTTAGCACTCTGCCTGGTTTTCATTTTCCTCTGCACTCAACACAATCTGACATTATTTTCGTGATGTGCTTGCCTGTTTACAGACTGCCTTCCCCGAACTGCTAGCAAGGAGCAGGGCCCTGGTCTCTGTGGTTCAGGCTGCATTCCTGGGGCCTCCCATGGTGCTCCGCCTAGGAGAGGGGCTCAATAATTTGTTGAGTGAGTGAGTGAATGAATTTTACAGGGATTTGATGTCAAACTCTAGAATTTGTTCTTGAAATTTATGAACGTGGATTTTTTCATAAGTGCCATTTTAATTAAACTTGATTGCATATAAAGTGCTGTGAGCATTAATTGGACTAATGGGATAGTTTTCTGAAATGGTAGTTTTTACTTGATATCACAATGTGTTCATTTCTTTGACTAGAAGCCTTGAAGTAGTGAAGCCACAGATTCTTTAAAGTTTCTATGAACCTCAGATCTTTTATAACAACCACTTTTAAATGTTTTTGCTCCCTTAGTACTCCACATAATTTTAAAACAATTGACACCCTCACATATTTTCAAGTTATTAATTCTTTTGAAGTCATAAGTTTAGATATTTGCAAAGACAGAATTTCTAACAGTGTAAATCAACACTTTTAAA